AAATTTAAAGAATTATTAAAGTTTTAATTAATTTAATTAACTAAAAAATATTTTTTAGCGTCATTGTTTGGAGTCTCGTGCTAAAATTCAAACTTAAACACTAATTAGGGCTTAATAAAATTTTTTTAATTCTTAACAATTTTTCAAAAATTTTAAATTAAATCAAAAATTCTCGAATTTATTTAATTTACCTTTTAAAAATTGATTTGCTTAATAAAAATGAAAAAAAGTTTATATTTTTCCAACTTAAAAACAAAAAAATATTCACACGATAAAACTAACAAATTATAAGAAATGTTATTGTTACATTTAAATAATTATTATTTTCTCTAAAAAATACAAAAATATTTTGGTGGGTGGAGGGGAGGTGGGGGAGGAGAGGGAAGGGAAGGGGTGGGGGTGTTGAGAGTTTTAATTGAAAAGTTTTATTAAATTCTGATTAAATTAAATTTTGTTTAAATGATTTTTATACTTTTAGAGGAAAATGTTTGAGAGAAAAAAATATTTCTGAGAAATTAAAATGAAACAAATAATTGTGTTTTAAATATTTCATGATAAGCTACATTTAATTTTTCAATAAAATATTATTTTTAAATTTGGATCGGCAATATATTTTACTTGAAAGTTTCTTCTTAAATTCTAATAGAAATAAAGCTTTGATGTTAATTATTTTATTAATTATTAGAGATCGGCCTGGATCCAGATCAAGAATCTGGTCAAGATACTCAACCAAATCAAGATCTAGGACAAAGTCTTTTAAAATTTCCAATCTCTACATATTAATTATAATTAATTTAAGATCTATTTTGATAAAAAAAAGTTTCATAAATTAAAGATAAGAATTCTAACTACAAATTTTACAAAAAAAAATATGAAAACACAGATTTTTTGGGGGTTCTCATGCTTGGATTCAAATTTGAAAATTTTTCAATTTAATAAACATTTAATAATTTTTATTTGGGTTTGCTAAACTTTCTAATACAATTTATTTAAAATATTGTATTTTAATTAGGTTTAAATAACGATTAATGGCACGCTACGGAAACATTTTAATATATTTAGAAATTAAATTATTAAATATTGCAAAGATATTTTTGAATAAAAAAAGATTTTTGTTGTTAGTGAAATAACTTTATAAAATATTAGGTTACAAAATTTAATTATCACGAATTTGCAATAGAATATTACAAAATTAGGAAACTATTTTGAAATATTTAAAAAGTATATTAACCCCGCCTCCCATTCTTTTTTGTCGTATAATACACCGAAATGGATAATGAGGCTGAACCTATTCAAGGGGAGCACGAAACCAATTTCAAGGAAATTTTCCCTATGAATCGGAAAAATTAAAAAATTCGTTTATGTTGTTTAATAATTTTGACTTTGGAACAAAAATTAGGTCTTGAAAAGTTTTGACCTTGAAATAGTTCTTACAATTAGGTTTTAAAAATTTTTAGCCTCAAATCTTAAGGTTAATTTTAAATCTTAGGGAAACTGCAGGCTGGACGGCGTCGTGAAAATTTTTTGCTTAAGAATATCTTTTATTATTTAAAACAATAACAAAATTTTTTAATTAATTTAAATTAATTACCTACCTATTTATTTAACTTCCTCATAGAGTTTTTTAAATAATAAAAAAAATAGAGGGAATATTGTGTAAATATATAAAAATAATCCTCTCCAAAAAATACCCCCAAATAATGGAATTAGTCCACAGATTGGTTAACAAAAGAGGAAAGGAAATGCCATTAATTCAAAATAATTTTAAGTGAAACAAAATAAAAAGAGAAACAAAATCCCCTTTTTTAAATTAAAAAATTGAGATTGTTTTATGTTAATTTTAAATATCAAAAAAAAAATTTTGAAAGGTCAGAAAAATATATTATATTTTAATTGAAACATAATAATAATATACATACTTAAACTACATACCAATACACAAAACTCACCCTAAAAAGTAGAAAAATGAAAGGAAAATTTTAATTTAAATGTAGGTCTAAAATCACTCGAAAACTAACAAGTTGAAAATTTATAAGAAATTTTTAAAAATATATTTTAATTAATAAAACAAAAATATTTTAAAATAGAATTCAATTCAAGAAAAAGAATAAAAAAATATAAGGGAAAAGGGTCGAAGTTCGAAAGTTTAAGATTGAAACCCATCTGGTTAGTTTCGAGGGATTCCTTTAATTTAATAAAAATTTTTAATACAAAAAAAAGAGATTGTTCCATTTAATTTCCTAAAAATTAAGCTTTAAATTTCTTTTAAATATTTACTATTTAAGGAAATAAGGAAGTCAAAAAATTAAAAAAAAGTAATGAAAAAGGAAAAGTTACAAAATTTTCAGACATTTTAAATAAATAATTAAAGATTAAAAAAGATTAAATTTTGAATAAATTAAAAATTAAATTTATTGATTTAAAAATTGCCTGAAACAAAATAAAAAGAATTTTTTAATTTTAAAATAATTATTTTGATTAATTAATGTGAAGAAAATATTTATTTTTTCGTTTTTAATTAATTTTACCTAGTATGCTATTTTGCAAATTTTCTTAAATTTTTTATTCAGCTAAGAAAAAAAAATAAAAATTTAGTCATAGAGAATAATAAAATGGAAACATAAATATTAGAGTAGGATGGGGAGGGGATTAGGTATTTTGAAAGAAATAATAAAAACATATATGTATTTTTAGGTTTCCAAAAAAACTTAATTTGGGAAGTTAATATTTAATTATTTTGTTTTTATAAGTATATTATTGGCAGATTTTAATTTTACAAAAAATTAAAAATAAAATTTAGAATCTAATTCTACCGACAAGAAAATAAAAGATTTTGAGAATAGGAACGGCAGGATATTTCAAGGTATATTTTTTAATTTGATTGACTGGAGAAAATAATTTTCTCAAATTATAATTGAATTAGCTATATTTACGCGAAATTTGAAATAAATCAAACTATTTGAAATGGAGTTAGGTAAAAAATTAGGGGTGAACGTATGTTTATGTAACGGACTGTATATACATAATCTCCCATTTAAACTTCAATTTCAGAGCCTCTCTAATTAAAAATACCCCAAATATCCATTAAAAAATATTTTTAAGAGAAATTTTAAATAATTATTTAACCAAAACAGAAAAATTCTTTTTAAATAAAAATAAACAGAAAATATAAAAAACCCCAAAAAAGAAAAGGATTTTTGGACCTTTTTTAAACTTGCCTTTTTTCATCATTTCAGTCATTAAAGTGGCCATTAAAATAAAATAAATAATTTTTATAGATTTTTTGGAGAAAAAAAAAAGGGGGGGAAGTGAAGTACTCAAAACCTTTAAATATTTTTTAACAATTCTTTAATCCCTTAAAATAAATTTGCAAGCAAAAAAACTTTTAATAAATTGTTTAAAAAAAGAGTTCGTTTTTAAAAAGAAGACAGTTAAAAAAGGGAAGAAAAATAATTATTTAATGGGAAAAGTTTTAAAAAAATTATTAGTTTTTTAAACTTTTTAAAAAATTGGAAGAAGGAAATTATTTAATAGGGGGAAAATAATTTAGATAAATTTTTAGAAAATTAAAATTTAAAATATTTATTTAATAACATTATAAATTAAATTTAAATAAAATTTATTTAAAAAATAAATTTTAAGGGTACTTTTCCGTTATACGACCGCAAACTGAGTGCCAGCCAACTTTGATCGGCTTTAACTTTTTAATGCTTGATCCAATACATCAAGCAATTTTATATCTTTCGAAAGCCCTCAACAAGCGGAAAATTAAACTTTAAAATATTTAATTTAAATAAAATTTATTTAAGAAATAAATTTTAAGTTTTAATTTATCAGAATATTAAATTAATTAATAATTTTTTTGAAGTCTAGAGGGAATTTTGGATTTAGGAGGAAAGGAAAATTATTCATTTTAATTTTATAAAAAATAGTGAAAAATTGGAAGCAAAAAGAAACAAAAATGAGACAAATATACTACATATGTATATTTAAATATATACATTCAATTGTTTCTTTAAAAAGATCTTCCTCCCTCCTTTTTGTCTCTAACAATAAAAACCCCCATCTGGATTTAATTTTTAAATAAAAACCCAAAAATTTTTTGTTTCAAAAATTCTAAGAATAAAAAGTAACAAATAAATCTGTATATATTTTTAGGGTTTTATTACCCAAAAATGTTTAAACAATTAAAAACATATTTTTAGGGATAAAACGGAAGAGGATAAAGGCTTTAAAAATAGGGATGAATTTAAATAAAAAAAAGTCTAAAAATATTTTTTCCTTAAATTTCCGTAAATCTAAATTGACACATATTTTCTAATAAAATATTTTTATTTTGGAAAGTATTTTATTTTATTTTCTATAAAAGAAACAATTTTTTGGTAAAATTAAAAACAAATTTTGCAAATTAGTTAAATAAATGGGAAATTAAAAATATTTAGGTATTTACTAAAAAAGGTATGCTGACTTTTGCTTTTTTTGTTTTTGCAAACTTTAAAAATAGAAAAATTAATTTTTAAATTAATTTATTTTTTTTGTTTAATTCGCACAAAGTTTTTAAGAAAATATATTAAATTTGAGAAAAACATCAAAAACAAAAATTCAATTTGTCCAATGACCATACAAAATACTAGTGATGTTCGCAAGTGAAAAAAGCCTAGAGTCGAGACCGAGAGATTAGGAGGGATTAGTATATCCCTCGATATATTGATACTCATATTAATCGCTTAGAATCCCTTATATCCCTTTAAATCGAACGATATCTTCTTTATCCTTCGATCACTACAAAATACCAACTAATAACCCTTCTCTAGTTAAAAATAATTCTCGTAGAAACGTATGAAAATATTTACAGGTTAAAATAATTTTTTGGTAAAAAAGCCGTTAAATAACCTTATAGATATAAGTAAAAAAACATTATGAGAAAATCTATTTTATATCAAGCAAAAACACAAAGCAATATACATATATTTAGGTAAACAATACAACAAGCACAATGAATACAGAAAAACACAATATTTATTTATTTATTATCCACTTCTATACATACTTCTGTCACAGACTCTTTAGTTTGGCACATTCGTTTGTTCCGTTCATTCCCTATATGGTGGTGGTGGCGGTGGTGGTGGTTGCTTGCGCTTGAAGAGAAGGAAATAGAGCAGAACCGCCAACAAAACACAACAGCAGCACGAACAAAGCAGAGAAATGATAAGATCGCCGACAGCCACTGCTAGTAAGGCGTTGGATCCCTTATCCTCCGTCTTAACAGTCTCAGCTTGATAGTTATGATCCACTGGGGCAGGGGCTTTGTTCTCCAGCTGAAAAAAGATTTTTATTTAGAGAAGAATTTAAACTTCTTTACCTTTTCCTCCTCCTTCTGCGGCGTTTTATCCTTGCTAACTTCATCCTTTAGGTCGACGTTGATGCTCATTTCTTTGCTGTTGACATGTTCAACCAGAAGCAGCAAAACAACAATGGAGAGCGTCACAATGAACATTGCCTTTTTGTTGTTGGTGTTGACGATCATCGTTGCCGGCAGTCGGTTTGGAGTATTTATGTTGATGATGGAAGTAACGATGAAGTAAGAAAGGATGCTTTTATAGAAGAAGAATTTATTCTGTTTTTATATGAACTATTGCTATGTAGACTACCTAATCTGAATCCTGTTTTCTCTATTTCATATCCTTTATAAATTCGATCTAACAGGGTAAACCGTTGTACCATAATTCGCTTCAAGATTTCCGAATCCTACCAATTTTAGCATTAAACGCTAAAAAGTTTGCTAAAAAGTTTGGCACCAAAATTGATAAGGGCCACAAATTTTCTAGCTAGTTAAGACTTTGCGCCATTATAGACGTGTCCCACAAATTTTGATTTGAAGGTTAGTTTTTCTGACAAGTTGAGATAAAGTTGAAATAAAATTTTGAACGATCTGAACTGAACTTTTACCTTTTGCCAATATTCATCTAAAATAAAAAAAATCCGGCAACCATAACAACAACATATTCAAATTATTTTTTTTAATTTTTTAAAAACACAATAGCATTTACTTTAAGTATTAAACCTCAACTTTGTTCTCTTTCTTTCTTCCAAATAAAATTGCCGGGCAAAAACAGATGATTGATGAAGACAACAAATGTCCACCTAAAAAATATTTTTAAAAAGAATTAGTTGTTAGCCTGGCTCTTTCCCCTCTCCTTTCTTTTCTTTTCTTCATTTCCAATGATCATTTAGTTGCCCTAAACTTGTATTTTTAAAGTTATTTAATCTTTACAAGCTGTGATTTATTGCCCCCTATATATTGTCAATAACGGTCATTAGAAATATTTTTATTTGTTCTTTTTTAAAACAAAGAAGGAGGAAAGAGGAGAAGTTTAAAGAATAAGGGGGCACACTTTTTATTTTAGATTATTTCAAGTCCTTTATTTAAAAATAGGTATTTTTTTAATTCCTTAGAATCATTCCTATACAGTAAAACAAACCTAAAGGTAGTGTGAGTGGTTTTAAATAAGTTTTAAAAATTATGTCTAAGAATGAACATTTAATCTTCCATTATTGTCTCTTTTTTTTAAATAAAAATAGGTATTTTATTTATGGTCTTCCAATTATTTTAAAAATACCCTCCCAAACTTTTAAAAATTAATCAAATATTTATTCTTTAAATAATTTAATTAAATATATTTTCAACTCAAACTTACAAAAAACTTTTTTTAAAAACAATTACTACTTTAATTACCCTTAACATCTTTTTTGCGCGCAACAGATTTATTCCCGCATTTTTTCTCTCATTAAGAGGTCATTCATTAACATTAATTTTAATTCTTAAATATTTGCCTGTCTTTTAATTTAAAAGAAAAAGTTATTTAAATCCCTTCAAAGTTTTCTTTTGTTTTTTAAAATAAATCCCCTCCTTTCTTTCTAAAAATGAACATTCATTTCCATTCTTTCCTCCCAAAGATTTCGGCTTATCCCTTCTGGGTATTTTTTCTATTAACTAAAAAATTAAATGAAAATTGGATTTATTTATTTCCCTCATTCTCTTTTTAAAAATTCTCATCAAAAAAAGATTATGTAGACCTAGTATTTTCGCTTTTCAAATTCTTTCAGACATTAAAGACCCTCTTTATTTTTGAGAGAATATATCATTCATTCTTTATTAAATCTGTTTAGAACCACTAAATTATTCTAATTTTGACCTTCAATTTATTTAAATATTTATTTATTAATATCATTTTTTGTTATAATAAAATATTAATTAATTAATATAAATTTATGATTAAAATGTGTAAATGAATTTTTATTTAAATTAAATTTTGAAATAGTAAACGAAATTTATTTGTTAAAATAATTGAGAAATAAATGATTCAATATTAATTTAATTTCTTAACTCACAATTGAATGAATCATCTATGTATTTGTTAGCACAGTATATTCTAAGAGAATTTCGAATAAAAAACAGAAGATTTTAGAAACTTTGTTATTTGCTTTTAGCTTTATTCAAATATATATTTATCCCGAAATAGCTTCTTTGTCTCAAAGTTTGGACAAGTGAGCAAAATAAATTGGTTTGTTTTGAATTCAAAATATCTTTCTTAATTAATATTTTTAATTAACAAATAATTTTTCTTCTAATTTTTATTTTAAATTTCATTATCCTCTTTCTTTATTAAATAACCATTTTTTAAATTAAAGAGACCGATAAATGAATTTTAAAATCTCATTTTTTGTTAATAAGAGAGTATATGTATAATACCAAATTTAATCCAAATCAGAATAATCCTCTCCTTTTAGACATTATATTTTCCCTTTATTTTTTATTCAATCATCAAGCATAAAAGGTGGTGAAAAAGCGGTAAAAATTAAGAACAATTTTTATTTATTTTATACCGCCCACAATAATAAATCTAACCTTCTTTTCTCTCCTTGTTTATGCGCGCGAACATTTGTTCGTCCGCCAAAGAAAGAAGATGATGATGAATGGTTTTATTTAAAAATTGTTAGAAATAAATAAATAGATATCTTCCTCTTTCTTTATTTCCATTTAAGTAAAAAATCTATTCAGAAGCTTTGCACTCTTTTAAAAAGAGAATAAAAAGCCAAACCTTTTTTGAATAATTGTTATTGTATTTATTTGTTATTTCCAACTTTTAACGTTAGAAAAATGCAACCTTTACCCCTTAGCATTTAAAGAACTTTGTGTTAATTTTTTAATTAATTTATTTTTTATTTTAGAAGCTATTTTGAGTTTATTTTTAAATTAATTTGTAAAAAACATTTTTTAAACATACTGTATTCGAAAATAAAAATCTGATATTATATCAGACAATAAATACAGACTATTCTCCGTTTAATAGGTAGTTTGATATCCAGAATAGTTAAATCACAAAATTTCTTAATCCTAAATTTATCTCAATCAGCCAAATTATGTAAATATCTACTCTATAATATTTAAATATTCAAAATGCTCACAATTAGTCTATATTTCTTGATTCGAGTTAAACACGAAAAATCGACTCGTTTATACTATTAATTAAACCCGAGGAATTCCTAAATGCTTCGAAAATAACCCCGCAAGAAAATGCTTTAATTCTCCGCCTGAGTCGAATCTGGCAATTCCTACTTACAAATAAATATTTAAAAAATAATTATAAAAAATTTCTTTTTCTTTTACCGTTTCTTTAATTTGTTCATCATTTTTTAAGAAAAAAAAGTAAAAACAAAAGAAAAAGGAAGGCAGCTGTCGCCAGTTCCAATACAAATCTAGTAATCTCTCCTCTTCCTTTCCTTCCCCTCTCCTCACAAAATTAAATCTCCAAAACCACAGAAAATCCCCAACAAATTGGCGCATCAAATTGGCAGGCTGCAAATTGGCCTTGACTTTAAATAAATAAAAAAATTGTTTTTAAATTGGGGTAAAACTAAAAATAAATAGCAGTAAATTCCCCATGTTTTGTATTTTTACTTTATTTCTCTTTTATCTTAAATTGAAGTCGAATTTTTATAAAAACAGAAAAATTGTTTTGACCTCAATCTAAGTGCCCCTTTATAGAATTTGTATTAAGCAATAGACTTCAGCAGCTTGATTGGTGGGTATTGGATGGTTACAAAACTGTTGATTTTATAGCCATTGTAATAAGGATAATTCACCTAGAGCATTCAAAACGCATAGGCAGGGTTAAACGATCTAAAAGGATAAGATACTCAGTGGTAGAGCTCCTTTAGGTGTTGAGCGAAAGCGCCTATCAATAACTATCAGGAGGTCGCAAAAATCCTGCCTGATGGCTAAACTTTTGCTAAACTCTTTCTCCATTAATTCTACTAAATTTGGTTTAATTATTTATTTGAACTATTTTTTTATCACAATGTATGTATTATTCTTGATTATTTTTATTCTCTCCCCTACCTTCTATAAACAATTATTCCCAATTTGTTTTGGATTTTTTGTTAAATTAATTTAATATTTTTAACAATTTTTCCTTTCTTTCTGGCTACATTCTCGCCATTTTGTTGGCATTCTTCTCTATATTCTCCCTCCATTATAAATATATTTTAATCGTGACCCAAGCATTAAATAAATATATTTAAAGCATTGTGGCATCAAAACAATTAATTTCCCCTCACTTTTTTCTGAGGGCATCACGCAATCCTCTTTTGGCACTTTGCCTTGAGCGCGAAAGCTCTATCTATATATATTTATCCCACTCACATCAGAAAATATTTTTCCAAAGAAAGAAAAATTGTATAGTGGGGGGATTGCCGGAAGGGGGGAATAGGAAGTTGGGTGTCATTTTGCTTAGTTTACATTTTTATTTTTCTCTTCATGAGGTCAGAATTTTTTAGCTTTTTAAATAAAGATGTCAAGTAATTGTTTAAATATTGACGTATTAATTTTGATAAATTTATGGGTAATTAATAAATAATATTTAGGTAATTCCGGTCAAATAGCAAAATTAAATTTTTGATTAAATTATTTGAAAAAATTAAAATCTTTTTTCTCTAAAAACAGCAAGCAAGACTTGTATCAAATTATTTTATACAGAATTAGAAGCTTTTATCTTTTTATGTTAAAACTTCTTTTTGGTTCATTTCTACTTTAAATTTAATTTAATAAAATTATTTATCTTTATATAAAAATATCTACCTTTTCATAAAAATTTTAAAAAATCTTTGGAAGGAGTTGTCGTATTTGGATAAAATTTTTTTTAAAAAAAGGTATTACCCTGAGCTACAAAAAATGTTCCCAAGACAAGTTTCGAAAAAGTTCGGAACCCGGATTTTTCGAAATTTCAAAAGTCGAAATTGAGGATGAATGTCCAAAAACGAAGTCGGAGCGTTTCGGACCTGGAAGAAGAAAAATTCTCCATTCAATTTAGGATCGAATAACCGAAGAGTTTTTTCAATTTGAACTTCCCTAACGGGAGTTATTCACGTGAGAAAATGGCACTACCCAAAATTTTGGGGTTTTTGCGAAATTTCGACACAAAGTCGAAATGTGAAAAATATGAGTTATAGTACATTTGAATCGGCTTTCGATTCTCTATCGAATGTCGAAAAAATTATGCAAAACGGATCGGCCGTTCAAAAGTTATGAATGGGTAAAGTACCAAATTTTGGTTAAACTTTTTATGTTTTTTGTCCCCGCTAAAAAAAGTTAGATGTACCAAATAACTTTTTCAAGTTGACGCGGTTACCGAAGTTTTTTCAAAAAAAAATTTTTTTCATGTAGTGGGTGATCTAATGTAATTTATGGGAAAAATCCGTTTTTTCTAAATTTCGATTTCAAAATGTCGAAAAAGTCAATTTTGGCGAAATGTGGAAAGTGTTTTTTCGACATTTCGACATGATCCCGAACCCGTACGAGTTCGACCCTTCCCGAAGGTTAAATGTCCGTTAAATTCTGCGTCGAATAAAAAAAATTTCACGCAAATCCGACTTTCCGTTCGGGAGTTACGCGTGACAGCGGATTTCGATATGGGAGAAGCGCTTTATAAAATTTGTGGAAATTTATGGGAGAAGTGGGACATTTCGTCAGCGCGACAAAAGGGAACATTGTGAATATTTAACATAATTTTTAGACTTTTTCCTATAATAGGAAATCGAATATGGGGAGTTCGAAAAAAAATATTTTTAGTTGGGACATTTGAGTCTCAAAAAAGTTATTTGAGTCTGAAGGTGAAAAAGTGGTAGAAATGAGTGGGAAATTTGTTAGAACTTATTAGAACATCAATAAAAATAATTTTTCGTGATATGACATTTGAGTCTCAAATTTTTTCTATCGAATGATGAAAAAATTATGATGCAATGATTGCAGTAACGATAAAAATGCCTGCGAATTATGCGGAGCCCTCGGGTAACCTTTAAAATGTGGTTATTATTAAATGGACTGTTGAGTCTCAAAATTATTTTAAGCATGGACATTAATTTTTTAAAAATTTATATTAATGATTGTACTTGAGGGCCGAAGGCCCTCAAATAACAAACAAAATGTTGAATCTTTTAATTATGCGGGCCGAAGGCCCGCATAATTCAAAAATGTTATTTTACTGTTTTTACTATAATTTGTAACTTTTCAAGTATTGGTCGCATAGACTTAGTTGAGGTGGCATTCGATGGGAAATATTATGAGGAATTCAACAAAAATATTCTCAAAGGTGTCACTTGAGTCTGAGAATTGATATTTGAGTTTATAGGTGAAAAATTCAGATTTTTTAAAATTTCAAACGAAATTACGTATTTGCCAATAACGCTAGAGACAGCAGTATTAAACGCACTCAAGTGGCACGCCCCGAACGCTAGTTTTAATTAATTAAAAAATAATACATATTTTTTTCTACTACTAAATTGTATCGCCCGATTTTCCCACTTATGTATATTTGGATATATTTTTTCATCTCCAAGGGTGACAACATTATTTTTATTATTTTTAAATAAAATTTAAAGTAAAGGGAATATTTTTTCCTCTCCTTTTTTTATTCTCACATTTAAATTTTTTGAATTAATTGAAAGAGGAGTATGGGGGATTCTTCAAGATTTTTTCAGCATTTCCTTTTCAAAAACTTTCTTTAAACAAATTTCCTCCAAATTTCTTTTAAAAGTTTTATTTTTACTTTTTAAAGGTGCGCAGAAGAAGCTTCCTTCAATCACTTTTTAAATTTAAAGTGCCCCTCTTTTAAATAAATAAATTTATTTTTGCAAAACTTCTTTCATTTATTTTCAAATTTTTCCCTCAAATGCCCACGTAATTTTAAAAAATTTTCTTCTTCACATTCCCAATAAAAATTATTTGTTGATAACAATAAGAAAGAAATCATCATTCCCACTCAAATATTTCTTCTGCCATTTTTATTGTCTTTTATTTGAATATATGTATTATTGCCTAGTATATGCTACTTTTAAATATAAATTTTTAAATTAAAATATTTTAAATTAATTTCAGAAACAAATTGAATTATAAGATCTATTTTTAAAATAAACAATGTATTTTTTATTTTTCTTAATTTTTAATGGCACTTTTCCGTTATAAGACCGTAAACTGAGTGCCAACCAAATTTGATCTGTTATAACTTTTTGATGCTTGATCCTATATAAATGAATTTTATATCATTCGAAAGCCCTCGATAAGAGATATATTTTAACCAACTTGATCAATCATTTCGCGTAAAATTTAAGAAAAATTTTTGAATTTATTTATTTTCACAATTCTTAATTTTTCCTTAAATTAATTATTTAAAAAATTTAATTACTTTCTTTTTTTAATTTTAATAAATCTTTACTCTTTTTTAATAAACAAATTTTCTTTTATTTTTTGAATTTCAAATAAATTCTAGCACAGATGTCCTTTTTTGTTATTGAGACAGTTAAAAATAAAAAATAGTTTTTACCTTCCATCTGCATTTTATTCTTTATTTTTTCTTATTTAATTTTATTTATTTTTCCTCATTATTTTTTTCTCCTCTATTAAAACACAATTAAAGACAAAATGAATAAAAAATATATATTTTTGTATTTATTTTGTTTTTATTTTTTGATTTAATTTAATATTTAAACTTAATTTTAATTTAATTAAATTCTCAATTAATTCATAACAAGTGCTGGGTATGACTCCGGGAGCTAGCTCCGGAACAGGCTCCGGAACAGGCTCAGTCGAAGCCAACAAATGCCAAATACCCAGCACAGATCACTTTACTTTTTCTGTACCTTCCTATTAATTACATACTTTATTATTTTTATTTCTTAAATAATTTTTATTTATTTCCTTTTAAATATTTGTTAGTATTTTTACCGTTCTTTTAGTAATTATTTCTAAGTTGAAGAGACAAAAAGGGGGAGTGGTTGTTGGTTGTGTCCGGTCATCCATCCTCTCCAAAATTTTTAGGTGTGGAAAGGAGATCTGACAATAAATAATACAAAAATCTTTAAATGTTCTAAAAAATATTTTTTGTTTAAATTACTTCCGCGGATGATTGAAAGGTTGGCCAATCCTTTTAAACAAATAGAAAAAGTTTTTGAATAACTTTTATCCTTTTTACTCAAAAATTTCGAGTGTTTTTCTGACAACCAAACGGATTTGGGGAAGTCTATTTTTAAGGAATTAATAATATTTGGTTTGAAATTAACAAATAAATTTGGAGATATCTGAAAACATATCTCAGTTATGTTTTAACATAGGACTAGCAGAATACATTAAAAATAGCATCACAAGTAAAGTTGTGGGTTCTATGTAGGCTGAACCGAAGTTCTTCGATTAGGTTTCTGATATCCGAAGAATTTCCAGGAATCGACAACCCTGATCACAAGATTAAATACAAAGAAGGTGGCAATAGGCAGGATTAATTAATTAAAGAAGGCAATTCAGGTGCTGATCAAGACTGATCACTAATAACTGCTTTTTTTACACACATACTTGTCACTAACTCTGTTACCATAAATATATGTAAATCTTAGATTATTTTTTGTTTTAAAAATTTTATTCTTCCGAAAATGTCACAAAAATTATTTGGACTTGAAATTTAGTTTTTCTACCATTCTGAAATTTTGTTTGATTTTTAAATTTTATTTCATCAAAATTTTCTATTCCAAACATTTTTTCTTTTTTAAAAAATTCCAATTAATTTTTAAAAATTTATTTTTGAAATAAAAAAACTGTTAACTTTTTTTACTTTTTATTTTCCAACTTTTAGTCTTTATACATTTTTATTTTTTTTGAATATTTTAATGACGCGTGATATATAAAATGTAAACTTTTTGAACCTAAAAATATTTTTTCTCTTTTTATGGAATTTATTTGCAAGCAAAAAAGTAATGAGAATTAATTGAAACAGAGAATTTAGTGTGTTTAGTTAACGGAAAAGAATTTTGACTATTCCCAACACTATATCCCCATTTTTATTTTAAAATGGATTTTAATTGCTGATAAATTTTTAAAAAAATATTGGCTGGCTGAATCAGAACATATATTTAATTAATATTTTTTATTCATAATTTTCTCATTTATTTTTTAAATGAGAAGGGACTGAACGCATATTTATTTAATATAAAATACCTAAACTAACGTTATATTTATTTTTTATTTTATTTTCAGTTTATTTTTACTTTAGTTTGTCTCTGTTTTCGATTGAAAAATATTTAAATAAATTTATTAGAATAAATAAAAAATATTTTTTTGACTATTCCCAACACTATATCCATGAAAATAAAATTTTGGAATTAACAAAAGCTTGGACAAAATTTTTAAAGTTATGCTGATAAAAAGTTAGCTACACTTCTAACTCTCTATCAGAAAATGATTGCTTTAAGTAATTTTGTTTTTTGCCTTTTTTGATATACTATTTTTATTTTACCTAATTTATATACAAATTTTTATTTCTCGACTCCTCCCTTAACCGTTAGCATAAAAATATTTTTGTTGTTATTCATCTCGCTTTTCTCTCTCCCCTTCCACTATCATACCCACAACTTCCCCCAATGTCTTCTAATACATATTTATTACTTCCCCTTTTTTTTCTATTAAAAAAATATTTTTTTATTCACCTTCAGAGATTAACAAAAGAAAAAAAAGATTAAAAGCTAACAGAAAAATTGATCAAAAAATAATTAACTTTATCTTTTCCAGATGTATTTTTGCTTGCTAAATCAGCTGCGTGTTTATAGACAAACGAATATATCTCATCATAATTTTTACTTCATGCTTTTCACTTTTTTCTCTTTAACCTTCAAGTCTCCCTCTCTTGCTATTCTTCCTTCATATTTTTTATCCTTCCTTTTTTTCAAGATTTTATTGCATCAAAAAAGCTGATGCAAATTCAGAAAGGGTTTAAATTCTTTTATTTTTAAAAGTTTTTATTTTAAACCAGATTTTCCTTAAATATTTTTTTCTTATAATTTGGCTTATGACTTTTTTGTTTTAATTGTTTTAAACTTACCTTAATTATTTCTTTAACTCTAAAATGATTTGTTTGAATTTTTTAAATTTTATTTTGTACAATTTCTGGACCTAAATACTCAGAAATTGATGAAAAATCAGTAATAATTATTACCCTCTCTCAAATAATTACCCTGGCTCTATTAATTATCTATCCTTCTCTCTCTATCGAAAGGTTGAACCAATAATTACCCACAGTAATTATTAGAGCATTTACGGTACGTATAATATTTACAAAATTATTGTAATATTTAATTATCAGAATATTTTTTAAAATAAAAAATTTTCTTTTCTTTATTTTAATTCCTTTCTCTTAAAAAAATTTTTTTCTAATCACTTTACTTTCCCCCCACTTCATTCCTGTTTTTTCCATAATCCATTACACTCAATCAGTTAATAATTGTCACTCATTTCCATTCATGATGCGCCAATATTCGTTCCCTTTCCCTTCCATTAAAAGCACTTAAGAAATAAAAAATAAATAAAAACTTTTTTGCGTTAAGCGCGTGCCATACTTCCGTTTGCTGGCTGTCTATCATGGTTTATATAAATGTTGGGGAGGGATGTTTTTTAATTTATTTTTCATTATTTTTTTTCTTGACTAAAATTTCTTCCTTTTTTTTAATAAATTGCATTAATTCTTGAACAATTTTCTAATGTTTTAAAAAAAATTTTCTTCCTACATATCAATTTAAAATATATTTAAGTATTTAATAAAAAATTCTTAAAATTAAAAGAATATTTCAAAAAATGTTCCTTTGTTTTAATTTTTTTATTTAGATTTTTAACTAATTTAATAATTACCTATTTTATTTGTTCCTAAAAATTTTCTAAAAATGAGAGAAGATAATCAACAAACATTTTGTGATCCAGGATCGTCAAAAATAAATTTAAAATTAAATTTTTGTTGCCATAAAAAGAATTTTGGCAACAGAAATGACAGAAATTTTGAAAAAGAAGAAAATAATTATTTTATTGAAAGAAGAAGAAAAGAAGAGAATTTAATTGAAAAAGAAGAAAAACAACAAAATAAATTAATTAATAATAATAGAAGAAGAATTAATAATAATTTAAAATTAAAAAATAAAAGAGAAAATAATTTAGTAATTATTAATAGGTAAATTATTTGCTTAAATTATTTTTATTTGAAAAATTTTTTTGGTTTTCGGTTAAGGAAACATTTTTTGATTGTATGTACCTTAATTTTGGAAAAAAATTTCCGTATAAAAAATTAAAAAAAATTTTAAAAATTTTCTTGAGGTTTTTAATTTTTTTTAAATTTAGTTAAAAATACATTCTAATTAAATTAAAATTTAAATGTTTTTAATTATTTTCAGGATAAAAAGAAGTAATTCAATTTCCCCCAATTTCTATTCAAACCCCCTTATATTAATCACTTTTGGAGCTTTTTTGGCTTTATTCGCTTTTATTTCTGCTGTTGAAGGAAGCAACACAAAATCCAATGAAATCGACGTTGATTGGACATTGGGGACTACAACGGGGTAATTATTACTTTATTTTATTTTTTATTCACAATTGAGGGGAAAATAGTAAAAAAATATATTTTTTATATAATTTCAACCTTTTTTTAAATAACAAAAAAAATATTTTTTTACAATAACAAATACGCGCATAAGAAAATATCACTCTTCTTTTCTTTTCATTATTTTACAAAAAAAAATAACAGAAAAATACAATAGAGAGAAGAAGCTTTTTCTACAATTTTTTTTATAAAAACTAGACAATCACTCAAAAACATTTTCAACCAAAAAAGTTAACCTTTTATAAAAAGAGAAAAAAGAGAGAAAGGACATGGGAGGAAGAGGTCAATTTTATAAAATAAAGGATTAATATATTTAATTCTAATTTATCTCCACTTTTTTTACTTCCAAAATGTGCCACTTTCTTTTTTTTAATGGCCACATCAATCAACAATTTATCTTTAATTTTCCTAAGGGGAAATGATTGCCTACTTTCCCTCTTCTCTCAATATTTTATTTTCTTCTTTCCCTCCCTTAACCTTTTCCACCGGAAAATGATCGTTTCTCTCCATAATGTGCCCCAAAATTTGCATATGACATTTGGCCAAGCTATTGACTAATCGCTTTTTTATTGGCCTTTAGTAGAGCCTTTTTAGCTTCTTCTCTTTCTTTCCACCTTTCACGCCTGATTTATGGCCGTTAATTTTTGCACTCATTCAGTGGAAGGAAGGGAAGGAGGGGGATAATGGACAGTTGAGTTTGGAAATAATAATTAGATTTTTGGAATTTAAATATTTAAAATAAGAAAATTTAAAATTTGAGAGTTTAAACTACCTATCTCCTCTCCTTTTTTAAAATAAGAAAGGATTTTATTAAAAAAAAGAAAATTAATTCAATTAAATTTAATTTGTAGAGACTCCAATTTCTAACCTTTTTTTTTAATTTTTGCATTTTAATTCACTCAATCTTCTCTCCCTTCTCATGCCAATACCCCTCTAACCTTTCTCTCAAATCTTAACAAAAATTGCAAAGTTTGGGGATGATGAATTAGCAAAATAAATAAATATAAATCCAGAAAAACGAAGAGAAAAAGCAATTTATTGTAAAAAAATTTCTTTAAGAGCTTTGATTAAAAATATTAATTTATTAAACACTTTCTCTCGATAATAGTGTAATATATTGGCAAATAATTAATTATTGATTAAAAAAGAAAATTATTAAATTTTTTTATTTAATAATTTTTTTAGGTAATTTAATTAATATTTAAATTAGTGTACGTTTCGGTTAGTAAATTACGTACCAGTTTTTGCCCTCCCTCGGATTTTTTCGTCCTTACTTGGAATCCTAATACTTGGAGGAGAATCCTAACATCCTAATACCTACTCAGACAGACTCGGTGTTTCTAAATCCCGGAGTCTTTATTTTTGATTTACAAGGAGTTCTAATGGCAAGGGAATCTTTTATGATTTTGATCATAAATTATTTTAATTCTTTTTTCAGTTCAAACAATTCAAATTTAACCAAACAACAACAAAATAAATACTCTTCTTCTTCAATTTTACATCCAAAAGTTTTAACAAAATATTTATTTCTCAAAGATGTTCTTCGATTTCATTGCCCAACAGACAAACATTTAGCCATTCATTTAGTCCCAGCAGAATCAGCAATTCTTTGTCATTTACCAGAACAACAAAATGGATTGGCTCCAATCGGTTTTTGTGGTCCAAATTCGGGAAGTGATCCTCGACTAATTATTAGAAGATATAGTCCTTTACCTGGAAAGCCTAGTTTTCGTGAAGGAAATGCTTATTTTTTTATTTGTAAGTTTTCGAAAAAAATTTTATTTTTTCAAATTTATTTTGAAAAGCGTCTTTTCTTTGAAGTTTTTATTTTTCAAATAAATTGAAAAAACAAATTAACCGTTTTGTAATACATCAATTAAAATAAATTTGTTTTTCTTTTGTATTTTTAAAAAAGCAAAAAAGTTTTGAGAAAATAAAAATAAAAACTTTACCCTCCTAGAGGGATTTTAGATTAAAAAAATATTTTTTTTAATGTTTTTAACAAAAATATTTACCAGAACACAAAATATTATTTGTCCATCCATCTGTCCTTTTTTGTGTTTGATTTACTCAACACCGCTAATCCTTTCCTTATTTTTCCATTCATCTTTTCATATAAATGCGTGGCAAAAACCGATTAGATTTCAAGCCCACCTGGCTTTTTTTAATTTTAATTTTGGAGGGAATTTTAGGAGGTAAAATTATTTGGGTATTTATAGTTATACTTGTAAAGATTTTTAAAATAAATAAATTCCCTAAACGTTATTTACTTTTAATTCTTTTTGGAGGGGCATGTAATTATTTTTAAAATATCAAAAAAATCCAAAAAAATTATTTAAATTTTCCTTTTCCAATTTAATTAATAAAATATTTATTTGGTTGGGTAATTAATTTATTGGTTATAATTTAATATATTCAGTTTTTCTGCTTTAATGAATTCAAATTGATGGGTAAACAACTAATTATATAAGTATATATCCGAATATAGGTAAATAAATATTTTGGAAGAAATTGATACAAAATAGGAAAATAAATAGAGAATATATGAATAAATAATTAAAAGAAACTGTTCAGAAAAAAAAAGAAAAGGCAAATTCCCGATGCGCATTCACTCATCTCTCAAATTTGATTAGACACACACAATGCCAAATTTTATTTTTGACCCTGAAAGCTATTTAGAAGATGCTTTTCTTTTCTTTTTTGTTTTGAAGATAAACCTTAAGAATATTAAGGATGGGTGGTTTTTAGATGACTGACAAAAATTGGACAGATGGATAAAAAAAGAAGAATTTTTGTTTAAAATAAAAATATTTTTTCTTTAAAAATTAATTAAATATTAATATTTTATTTAGCTACATCCAATGGTTCTCCTAACGGTACATCTCAAACAAGTGGTGGGTTATGCCGAATTGAAGGTCTCAGACTGCGCGTAATTATCCTCCCTTCGCCTTCAAATAATGCTCCTTTAATTAGGTATCAGAAAATTTTTTAAAAAATTCAAAAAAAAATTTTTTTGTTTAGGCCAGTCGATGAATGGACAGATTTGGCACATCTTTTAATGCCAATAATTATTCCAACTTCCTTTCCTTCATCAGAAACTTTGACAACAACAACAACTACAATCTCTCCTCCAAAAGCTTCAGCTCTTTCTTCAAACATCAATCCTGTTTTCCCTGCAATTTTGTCACTTGAACAGGGAGGGCAAAGGCATAAAGTATTAGTTCATTCACAGCAGGAATTGACAGAACAACTTAATGCTGTATCAACAAATGGTGGTCCAAAAGTTAAAAATGAAGAAGAAAGGGATGTTGACGATGATAGTGATGAAAATGGAGGACAAAGAAAGGGTATGGGGTTTGGAGAAGAAAATCGAAAGAATAATCAGAAACAAGGTAATTTGGGCGAAAAAAAGGTTAAATTTGGGCGAAATTTTGAAACGTTATTTAATTACTTTTTATTGCTATCCCTCTAAATTAATTATAATTATGAAAATTAATTATATTTTTCATCTCAATTCAAAAAAGAAAATTATTTTTCAGATTCTTCCCTCTATGAATTAATGGATGAAAGGACAAATAAATGGCCAAATTCAGTCAATCGTTTATCCCAAATTGAAAATTTTGAAGAAAGCAAAGAAGAAGAGAAAGAAGAGAGGCATTTAAGAAGACGACGTCCAGTACCAAAAACAGCTCGTTCACCTGATCCTTTGGTTGAATCACAAAAATTAGTTTATATTATAGGGTATGATGGACATGGAAGTAGTGGGGGGACAAGTAGTAATAATTCATTTATGAATAGAAATATTAATAGAAATATTTTGTTATTTATGTTAATAATTACTATTTTGTTATGTTTCTTATCTATTTCTTTATTTTAAGTTTATATATTTTTGTAATTATCTTAATATGCCTGTCCTTTTAATTAAAATTTAGTATTTATATGTATTAACTACAAATATTCCCCCCCCCTTAATTTAAAGGCTAGAGAACGATGTCAAAAAATATTTTTGAAAAAAGAAAGTTTTTGTTAAATTATTTGATTGGTTTTGTAAACCTTTCTAATTTTTTAGATCTTCTTTTAAAAATTAAGAAAAAAAATTTTTAAGTGCTCTCTAGCTTAATGATTTTACTAGTCATAAAAAGTCATATTCGAGTAATCGTGTTTACTTAAGTTTTAATTAGAGAATTTTTTCCAAATTTTTGATCACTTATTAACTAATCTTTTAATAGTTTAACGATTACTTTAATAATTAAGTGCTCTTAATATCACTCATTATTTATTGTTAATATTCCTATATAGTTCTAATTGTGATTAATCTTTCCATTGACAACAATTTCTAAACTTTTTCTACGTTTTTACTGTTTTATTATTTTCGAAATTTTGTATTTATGTATATGTTTTTAAAATTATATTTCATTAAAGTAGTTAACCCACAGTCACCGTCGCGGCTTTTTACTAATCCACTACCCGTCAAGTGGTGGAGGGGTCCGACAAAACCAAAAGGGAGAGGGCATGCCGCGGCAAAGATCAAAGAGGAGTGGACACTGTCGCGGGGGTGGAGGGGTCCGATAAAAGAAATGGTCAGACAAAAGAAAGAGAGTGAGGAAAACCAAAAGGATAAGAAAGGAGTGGATTGAGGGATAATTTGTAAATCATAGATGTCGGGGGTGGTAATAAAATCATGTTAAACCAAATGAGTAATTTCAAGCCTGTCGCGGATGATTCATGTACGTTACTAGATTACACCTTTGTAAACATGTACCAATTATCACCTGATTACCCTAGATGTTACCGAGGCACGTGATTACCCTAGATGTTACTAAAAGTGATTACCCTAATCGGTGATTATTATGTTCTGTATCGTTAATATTTATTTGTTACTGATTACATTTGTTGTTAATTAAAGTGATAGCTGATAAATTATTAAAAAAATTAAAATTCTTTATTTTCAATCCCCAATACATAATTTTTGCTTCGCCAAAATTTGGTCCATGTTTTTAATCCTTTTTGGCAAGTTTTCAGATAATGACCTTGACCTTTTGACCTTAATCCTTTATTTTTTATCAAATTTAAAAATTGTTTAGAATTTTCTCTTTGATGTTGCCGATATTTTAAATTTATGCAAATTAACCTTTTAAAAACTCTTTGAAGATGCCGCCAATATTTTAAAAATTTTAAAATTTATGCTCCCGATATTTTAAATTTATGCAAATTAATGTTTTAAAACCTCTTTGAAGTTGCCGCCTATAAAAAGTTTTACCAAAATATTTCATATAAAAACAAAGATTTATTTCTCATTTGTATTCACTTAAAAAAAGTTCAAATAATTTAAAATATTTATTAATTTGCTCCTCATCTTTTTATTTTAATAGGAGCTCTTTTTGCTCCCCATAATTTTTTGCTCTTTATTCATAGGAGCTCTTTTTCATAGGATTTTTTTTATTGAATAATGGACTATATTCCTCCAACAAAACGCGCAAGAGCGTTCTTTATTGATAACCTTCTCTCTATCAATCAATCAGGAGGAGATGCTGCTCCACAGCAATATATTGAGCAGCTTGAAAATACTACAAAATTAATCAATAAATTTAAGATCACCAAAAATTATTCGAAATTCCTTATTCAGAATATTCCTGCCGACCCTGAGGCCTTATTATCAGGAATATTTCAACATTGCTTCAACCAGGCTGTGAACAACGCAAAAAACAACGGACTTGAACCTGAGGAGCTGAGTTGCACCGTAACAAGTGAGTTATTAGATTCTGATATTTGGATCCCACTTAGGCCCACATCGCAAAATACCTTCAATACCCTGCTTAATCAATTCAATAAAGTTTCCCAGAGTAAAAAGCAGGCTGGTATTACCCTATGGGGAAAACCTTTTTCAGTTAATGTAATGGTCGTCGACAAGAAAAATTTGAACAAGGAAAACAACATTATTGGAGGAGCTCCCCGAAAACTTGCTCCTATTCATCATCAGATCAAGGAGCAGAATTTAATCAAAATTATCAACAACGATGGTTATTGCTTATTTTATTCTTTATTAGCAACACTTGTACGGCTTATTAGCAAAATGTCGCGCTCACAATTTTACAACTATATCCACGGGAGGTATGCATCGTGTGGACAATTCGAAAGGGAGACATTGGAGCTGATGGATCAAGTTGGAGCTCCTCTTGGTCAGAAGGAGTACAATGCTGAGGAATGGGTTCCTCCCGTGGTCGACTTTTGGAATGAAATGTATGCAGGCCAGTTTGTTTTTAAAGTTTTTATTTTTGATTGTTTGGGGCACTATAATCCTTGTTTCAAATATGGTCCAGAGAATTATAATTCCCCATTGCTCCTCTATTTTGATGGCTCTCACTTTAATGGAGTTACTTGCACTGGTGGGCTTTTTGGGCAGCCTTATTGTTTGGAATGTGAAACAGTGTATCAACGTCCACAACAACATTCTACATCCTGTCGGGCACACTGTCTCAATTGCTCCCGTGTCGGTCCTTTATATCCATGCCCTCCGAGGAACAATTTCTCCAAAAAATGTAATGGGTGCTCCAAGAGTTTTAACAACGAAAATTGCTTCGACCATCATCAGAGTTCACGATTTTGCCAACAATCCAAACGTTGCGAAAAATGTGGAGTGATCTGGGATACAAAAGATAACACCAGAGGAGGCAGGAGCGGCCACATTTGCAATGAGCGCTATTGTTCAATTTGCTCAGGATATCATGACCCAAAGCGCGGATGTTTTATTAAGCCTTTGGAGCCCAAGGAGCAAAAGCCTTATCGATTTGTAGCTTTTGATCTGGAGACCATGCAACATGTATCAGATGGAAACAACAAGAGAAATCACCAGACAAATTTTATCGCAGCAAGAGTTACATGCCCCAAATGTATTGAGGAGGAGAAGGAGCTGTGCAAAGTTTGTGGGAGCAACAAACTTGTAACCTTCTCGGAGCGCCCATTTTCCAAAACTCCCGTAGATCTACAGAAAGTCACCGAGGATCCAATCATCTCATTTGTCAAATGGATAATTGGATTAACAACAGACTACGACACAATAGCGTTTTCACATTTTGGAGGGAGGTTTGATATGGTAATAGTGTTCCGGGAGCTCTTTCTTATGGGTTTTACTCCTGAAATGTTGAAGAGAGGAAATAAAATGTATGAGATGAAAGTGAAAATTGGGAAGAAGAATATACTCATCTTCAGGGACAGTTTCAATCTGATGCCAATGTCTTTGGCATCTCTTGTCCCAGCCTTTGCTCTCGAGGTTGAGGACAAACCTTTCTTCCCCCACCTCATCAATCAGCCTAAGAATTATGGAAAAGAGGTGTTTCCCATCCCCTCTGACTACTTCGCAGATGGGATGATGCCAGAGAAGAGAAAAGAATTCAATAAATGGTATGATCAGCACAAGGAGCTCCCATTTTACCTGGATGAGGAGCTCGCAGCATACTGTACCAATGATGTAGAAATATTATTAGCTGCTCTTATTGCTTTTCGACGAGAATTTATGGATGTGACAAAGAGAGCTCCTTATCAAAGAGCAGCTTCTTCAAAAGCTCACGGAGGTATTGATGTTTTAAGGGAATCAATGACAATAGCCTCAGCATGTATGAATCATTTTAGAACAAATCACTTGAAAGAAAACCACCTAGCTCTTGTCCCTGAAAAAGGCTACGATAATGTGGATAATCAGAGCCGCCTTGCTCTCAAATTTATGAAATGGTATGAGGAGGAGCACGGAGTGAAAATTCAATCTGCTCATTCAGATGGAGGGGAGAAAAAGGTTGGAAATTACAAGTTAGATGGCTGGATAGAAGAGGAGCAATTAGGGATAGAGATTAATGGATGTGTTTGGCATGGTTGTGAGCGGTGCTATCCTGAGGACAACACAGTTCTCCCTAATGGATTGACAGCAGCAAAGCAACGGGAGAAGGATACAAGGAGGATGGAATTCATTAAAAATCAAGGAGTAAATGTGCAACTCTTTTGGGAGTGTGAAATTAGTAGTATGCTAGAAAAAGACAGGGAGATGAGGAGCTCCTTCAAAAAGTATTTGGATGATGGCCCAATTGATCTACGGGCATGCTTCTTTGGAGGACGTACTGGCCCACTTCAGCTTTTCTACTCACCAAAAGCTGGAGAGAAAATATCATACTATGACGTCACCTCCTTGTACCCATTTATTAATGTAACTACAAAATATCCAGTGGGGCACCCGAAGGTACATATTCTCAATGAAGAGGTTCACTGGAGCAAGCCGGAGGACAACATATACGAATTGGCAATATTGAAAGTCTTTGTCATCCCTCCAAGGAGCATTGATATTCCTGTGCTCCCAATGAAAGTAGGAGAAGATGATGAGAGGTTGCTCTTTCCTCTCTGCTCCCAATGTGCAAGGGAGCACCCTGAAGGAGGAGTAAATGAAAACTACTCCTGCCCTCACTCAGACCATCAACGTGGATGGGTGAGCACCTGCACTTCACTCGAATTGAATGCAGCTCTAGAGGAAGGATACATCGTCATCAAGGTGTTCAGAGTTTTGGAGTTCAGGGAGAGCGACGACAAATTGTTTGCTCCATACATTTCTGAATTTATGGCAGCAAAAATTCACTCTTCGGGATTTGAAAGCTATATGAAGGGGAATTATGAGGAGGAGGAGCAATTTATTAAAGAGTGCAAGGAGAAGTTTGGAATTAATATAGAGAGGAGCAAGATGGGACCAAATAAGGGGAAACGCACACAAGCGAAGTTAATGCTCAACAACTTATGGGGGAGATTCTCTTTGAGGAATTTTGGGTTGTCACAATGTGCAATTACAGACAACCCAGCAGAGCTACACAAATACTATAACGACAAATCAATTGAAATCAC